CACGCACGCACGTACGCATGCACGTACGCACGCACGCGCACACACACACACACACACACACACACTCCCTCATACATTCACGCTCTCCATATATAATTATACCATACACCAAACACACCTAGCGGTAATCTTGCTTAAATTCTATTTTTTTTTGTATCTACCGGCATGTTATAATTTTTATTTTAGCTTGAAAAGATTCTTAATATTATTTGTTAAGAAATATTGTAAAAGATCTTACCTACTAAGTTATTATTTAATTCCCAGAGTGGAAGGCGCAGGCAGCCGTGGCACAGTTTATACTAGTACGGCTGCCGACGTTAACCTCTCAATGTAATTGATGGTACGTTTTATTTAAATAGTGTAAGTCACGATGTAAAATTTGTGGAGTGAATAAACAAATATATTATTATTATTATTATTATTAATGATGATTAAAAAACATGCTAATTTTATAGGGAAGATGGCTGAGTGCTACCATTTGCTAAGGACCCCATAATTAATAAAATTAAATTCAAATCGAAGCATTTATTCTATTTTATTTTATTCTATTCTTTCTATTCTATTCTATGACGTCAGGTCGTTACCTGAGTCCTTTTTTATAATAATCTCTTTTATTTCATTAAGCATTTCACAATTTGCATAAGGTAGGGAGCGTCTTTTAAGCACCTTAAGGCACTTGTGTCAGAGACTCCCGCTCTTCCATAGCTATATAAAACTTTCTAGAAACATATAATTACATATTATACAAAGTCCTCTCGTGACCATGGGTGCTGTAAAGTGCCCAAAAGTTTTTGGCCTTAAAAATGTTCGCTACACTGATTCCAATGCGGGATGACCTCAACTGGGAAACTTCTCAGATATGCAGGTTTTCCTTCATCGCCGAGAACGTGGTAAATCGACACTTCAAATTGCAATTAAAATATATGCTAAAATATAATATAATATTGCTTACGTACCATGAAATTTAAGTTTTAATCGGTTTGATTACCGCCTTTGACAGATAAAATAAAATGAACCTTGTTTAAGTAAAATCAGCTTTCTTTAATTAAAATTTTTTCTACAAGAGCCTATTCATTTACATATACTCATATAAGCTATGAAATCAGGACTTATATATCAGGGCTATCAGCACCGCTAGCGGTGAAACACAATTTAATGATATTATACCTTTACTCTCCATGATATGCAATGTTGACACCCTCACAAAAGATTTTATGTAGTAATATCTGTATTTTTTTATAGGATAGGGTGACAAACGAGCACACAGTCCACCTTATGGTACGTGGTTGCTGTGACCTATAGACATATATATCTATCCTCAATAAAGAATCAAAATTCAGATGCGTTGTCACCCGTGAGGACTAAGATGGAATGCCTCTTTTCCAGTAAAAAGGTTCTCTAGTTCTCTACACTCACTTACACATACGAAACACAGGACCGTTAAGCTGCTATTTTACGCTAGTGTTCTGTGAGAGCATGGTTGTTCCCTGGTCGATCCGACCCATTCGTGCTACAACTATACTACTAATATAGCTGCAGCATGGCTCTACCACGTATAAAATTATTAGTATAATATTGTCAATTAATGTTTAAAAAAAGTGCCGCTGGGTACCTTGCTGGATCTTCCCAGGAGGTTTTTTTTTGAACCAAGCATAAATGAATTACAACAAGTATTCTTGTAGTCTTCTATTTTATTTCTTGGATTTTACATTAACAAACTGTTATATAATATGGACAAAGACAACTTTATTTGTCGTGAGACGCAAACAAGTCAGTGTTGCCAACCGTATAAATATGACAACATACGTCTTCTCTGCGCTCCCGGTGTCACCGGTCTCCCTGTTGTACCAATGACCTCATTTGTTGGCCTGTTTATTTTATTGAAATTTAAACGTGCGAAAGAGATTTTCAGCAGATGAAAGTAAGGAAATGTGACAACTTAATGCACTCTGATAATTTAATATTGCATTACATTCTCAAAATTTTAAACTTATCAGAACCCCCATTTTGGAAGATGTTGTAATAGGTGCAAATTTTGAGTCCTATTCTACTGTTTTTAAAAGTATGTCTGTTTGTGTGTGTGTGTGTGTGTGTGTGTGTGTGTGTGTGTTTTATGTGCGAGTTTATGCATATGTTAGCGGGGTTTTCTCGCATATCTCGAGAAAAAATTATGATATCGTATCCAAACTAAACTGTTTTTTCGACAATTTATTGCATATTGATCAATTTTTTTACAGAATAAGGGTCACAAATGACCACACAGTCCAGCTGATGATGAGTGCACGCTGTTGCAACTATCCTTGATTAAGAATCAAGATGTAGATATATTGTCACCCATGCGGACTATGAATAAGAATGCCTAGTTAGCAGTAAAAAGGGGTCTCCGGTTCTCCGGTCGTCATACGAAACTCAGCAGCATTAAGTTGCTATTTTATGGTATTTTGTACGAATATGATCCTTCCGCGGTCTCTACCGATTCGTGCTGCAACATGCGCATAAATGTACAGAGTGTCTTCCCACATATAATATGGAAAAATTAAAGATACATTATTTTAGTTCATTTCAGCAGAGATAGCCTTCAGATGCATTTAGCGACAGTAAGGGTGAATTTCACATAGACAAAAATCCAGAAGAACCGTCTGACATGCATAATTTGAAAGATTTGTCCATACTCTTCACCTGAATTAATGGATAGATCAGATACCCTTGTCTAGTACAAGAGTATCTCTTTCTATCTCACCATCACTAATCTATAGCTATGGCTATGGCCTCCTGTTAAGGTACTCTACACTTGAGCGGTAACTCTACTCTTTTCTATCTCACATAGCAACCTAAATTTGATCCCCGTAAGCGGCAATGAAATTGTTACACTATTCAAAGCCGTATTTGCAGACGTCATATGACATCGATTTCGTTTACTTAGATAAACAGATTTCATCATAACGTTTTCTTTCACTGCAAAAAACGTAAATCAGTACTCGAAATTCAAATTCAAATTTGTATTGATACCGGTAGGAATCTAACTAGGAACTTGCCTTTTATTTTATTATAGCATAGGCACAGTAAAAAAAACGTAAGTGCTTTAGAACTAGCACATATATGCCTATATAAAAAATATCAGAACAACAAAGAAAGATAGATGAAGCGCTGCTTACATTTGAAGTTATGTTTTACATCTTTCTTCTTTCTTTCTATCATCATTTAAAAAGATTATGTGTGGGTAAGATAGGGGGTAAGGGGAGCACATTGCAGGATTTTTAACGCTGGATATGTACGAAAACTAATTACCTACTAGGATTTACGTCACTGGTCCATATCCGGCTCGAAGGACCAAAACGTATATATATATATGATTGCAGGTTATCTGCCAATTTAGTTAACCACTTTATTGAATTGGAAATTTATGATTTAAATTTTAAAAATTAATATTTGATATAGTCTAATGAGTAACCGTGTGTCGCCGTATATTTTTATTCTTACTGCAAACTAATATAGAATATGTCAAATTACAAGATAGTGTTCATAAAAACAAGAAAAATAACTGTTTATTAACCCTACTAAGATTTCCGTTAATAACACTTTAAACTTAAAATACTTGTTAGGACGGCTTTATGATAGGCGTCGAATGGTGGATTCGAACCCAAGACCTTAAGTTTCAATACCTTTAAATTCTGTAACGCGTTACAACAGATGGACAGAACAAAATCATAGAAATTTCTTATATTGTGGATCCCAGCAAGCAACCGTTACAATTTTTTATAGAAAAAAATTAAAATAAAGGTAAAAAATTGAATTTTTATAAAAGATAAAAGCCGACTTCAAATAACTAAAAAGAAAAATATAAAAAGGCCGGCGAAGTACGAGTCGGAGTCGCGCATGAAGGGTTCCGTACCATCGTAAAACACGTTTCTAGTAATTTGAATGATTTTATTATCATTATTTGTTGTTATAGCGCCAACAGAAATACACATTCTGTGGATTTCTGTCGGCGCTATGACAGTTTCAACTGTCTACCTATTACGAATCATGACATACAGCCCGCTGACAGACAGGCGGACGGACGGACGGACGGACGGACAGCGGAGGCTGTTTGGGTCTGCATCGATTACTAATAAAAAACTAGATGCACAATTAGTAACAAAAATGTCCTTACCAAACATTTGGGTGCGCTTTTAATTTTTACGTAGTTGTGAATACAACTTTAGGCAACGCATTAAAGGTTGAATTTACATTAATGTATATTTATTTTAACTAGAATTACGTCAAAACAATTGGCGACAGTTTTTAGAGAACAGTCTTAGAGCATGGAATTGAGTGATCGATGGCGGAACCCTAAAAATAATTTGATGTTCTGAAGTCGTTGCTAAGACTTTAAGTCCCGACTTCATTATGTGAAATTATTTTATTATTTTTCGTAGATTAAGTAATACCACAATCTCAATGTCGTTTAAATTGTTACATTAAAAACTACACCCCTTGTTTTAACATTAGGATTGGAATTTTTTCTCCAAATTTATGTGGAACCACCGTTGACGTATAACTTGTTTAATAAAATTAAATCAAGATCTGTTCACAATTGACGAAGATATCGCGTAACATGCATATAAAATAACATACAATTGAATTGAATTTAATTGAAAACCTTTTCCTTTTTTTAAGTACGCTTAAAAAAAATACTAAAGTTAGATTTTAAGGCCTTTATTTTATCCTTTACCAAGTACTAGTGTTTTTTTTTAGTCTGTCTTACACGCAAAGCATTAGAGATATTGTCTACGTGCTTAGTACTCGAAATATATCAAATTATTAAGAAATGCAGATTTCCTTGCAATATTTTCCTTCAACTGTGAACACGAAATAAATTAGCACGTAATTAAACTGGAATTAGTTATAAAAAAAAAACGAAAATCTTGCAAACCGCAAAGTAAAAATTAAGTTTATTTAATAAAAGATTGATAATTTTATTTTAAGGTTTGTGTCTTATTTTAAAATTATTTCTATACCTTTTTTTGCGGATTTCTTAGGCGGCCCCAGCGCAGGTTGTGCCGCGGCGTAAACAACGAGCGCGCACGCGCAGAGCAAAGCAGTAGTACACACGTGCGACATACGTGCGGGTTTATTAGCGACTAACTGGAGCTCATGTATATTGTGGGATAGGAACCGAACGTTATAAAAAATCAGTGTTCAATACAGCTATATATATATATATATTGCTTTAAATAAGTTTACGGCATGCATAAATTGAAAGATTTGCCCATACTTCGCTGGCAATGGGATATCCTGGTTCGATAATGGGCTTTAACACTTTTCGATATCACTTCGCCAATATTACCTAAGATTCAATGTACAGCGAGAGTGCTGTGTTCGCCTACTTGACCACTTACTAGCGCGTGGGATAGAAAGTGGTGAAGTACACGTGGGATAGTAATTGGTGATGTAGTCAAGCACTGGCTTAAAATAGTTAAAAGAATTGGATTAAAGTTAAAATTAATAACTCTTGGTCTATAGTAATACTTCTTCATGGTCTAGATATAACTGCTACATGTCAGATGATATCTGGGCAGATGGTCGGCCAAGACGAAGGTGGAAAGACGAGCTGACTCATACGAAAACGGTGGGAAACTGAAACAATAGACCAAACACGATAGTAGTAAAAAGTTTTTTGGTAAATATTCAATAATGAAAGCCTTAGTCATAACTTTTTTAGTTTTGTTGTTATTTTGTCGTATAATATAATATCTTGTTTGGTGTCGAACATGAGTTCATTCTTAATTCATTCATAACAATATTATCCATGTATTCCACTAAAAGACATTAGAAGCGATTCATAAAAATTATATCTCTTGAATTTTTCAAAATGAAAGTACTAGGTAAGTAGCCTATCCCCGACGATCCATAATAATAAAATAATTTATATAAAACAAAGTAGAACACGTTTTTGTCGTAGATGATTTTAACAAGAGAACTAAAATAAATATTTCAATAAAAATAATATACCATAATATTATCAGTAATCACTATATTTTTCAATTAATTAAACTTTGGTTATATCTTTACAAAATTTACATCTTTTATTTTTATATAATCAACCACTGTTAAATATTACCGTGTAGTGGCGGTTAAGAATATCCACTACCCCATATCTTCCCGTGGGTGTCGTAAGAGACGACAGTGGGAAACAGGCAGGAGATGGGCAGCAGCATCTTCCTGGTAACAGCAATAGTACAATAAAAAAACTGCGGTTGTCAACCCACTCGCCAAGCATGTTGCCCCCATAATTAAAGTTACAAAGAGACGCCCCCCTATCCCCGGCGGCCCGCTATTCCAGGCTACTGTGGCGACCATGGTAACGGCGGAGCAGGGGTACTAAGAATCTCCAGTGGAGGTTCGGTTGCCACCTACGATGACTCGAGCTGGCGACATACAACGCACGCGCCCTAAGAACTAACGAGAAGGTCCTGGAGCTGGAAGAAGATATAGAGAAGTGGTGCTGGAATATTATAGAATTATCTGAGGTCCGAAGAGAGGGGGAGTACATGGTATTCTTCGAATCCGGCAATTGTTCTATCAACGGGAGGGTGATCATCTGTCCCAAGGAGGTGTCAGATTTATCATCCACAAGTCTCTCGTTAATAACGTATTAAGGATTGTGAGTGTGTCGACGTGGGTTGCGTACCTTATGCTCAGAATCATCAAACGGTACTCGTTGAAGGTCATACAGGCTTACGCACCAACCTCGGCACATCCCTATGAAGAGGTGGAGGAAATGTAAAGGATATCTCTAAAGTCATGCATTCCGCCAAAACCCACTATACGGTATTAATGGGAGACTTCAACGCAAAACTAGGCACAAGAGAGAACGGTGAGCTGAAGGTAGGGAAATTTGGAATAAGGCAACCGAACCCAAAGGGCCAGCAGCTGGCAGACTTCATGGCGAAAGAAGGTATCTTTATGATGAAATCATTATTTCAGAAGCAGACCCACAGAAAGTCGACCTGGTCGAGCCCCGAAGGTTCGACAAAAAATGAGATTGACTTCATTAGGACGACTACATGCCAACTGTTCAGTGATGTCTCAGTGATCGCGAGGGTGAAAACTGGTAACAATCACCGAATGGTTAGAGTCACACTGAACCTAAATGATAAGTCGGAGAGGTCTCGTCTAATGAAGCTAACGCTCCGTCCTCCTCGTGCTCTAATCCAAAGTCCCGAAACCTTTTAGTTAAGGAAACTGTCCATGTGATCGAAGCTAAGTTCTGCAAGACCCACTGCAGAAGAACACAAAAACTCACCGATCTCACTCTTAATCTCATGGCTGTTAGTGTGAGTAACGATCCAAAAGCAAGTCTTATCCGACATAATTATGATGACATCCCGGACGTCAGTCTGAGCGAGATTAGTATAGCTCGCCAGCACCTTAAAACGGCAAGGCAATGGAATTACAGTGGAGCTTCTGAAAGCGGGTGGAAAACCGGTACTTGATGTCCTTCAGAAGTTTTTACGACTACTCCCAATACGTGGAGCAGAAGTGCGATGGTCTTGTTATTCAAGAAAGGTGACAAAGCTCTCTTGAAGAACTTCAGACCGATTTCCCTTCTCAGCCGCGTCTACGTGTTGTTTTTGAAGGTCATTACGAATCGTCTGGCACGCAGACTCAACGACTTCCAGCCTCCCAAACAAGCCGCTTTCCGAAAAGACTAGTACCATAGACCACATACATACCCTTTGGAAAATTGTACAGAAGACTAAAGATTACAATCTGCCACTTTGCTTTGCGTATGTGAACTATGAGAAAGATTTGGCTTCCGTCGAAATTTGGGCGGTGCTGCAGTCCCTTCAGTGGTGCCAAGTTAACTGTCAGTATATCTAAGTGCTGAAGTGTTTGTACAGTAGGGCTACGATGGCTATCCGAGTACAGAACCAGAGTACGAAATCTATCCAACTGCAGAGAGGTGTAAGACAGGGTGAGTTATATCCATGAAACTCTTCACCGCTGTATTGGAAGACGTTTTACTGGACTGGAAAGGATACGGTATTAACATCAATGATGAGTACATCACTCACCTTCGATTTGCCGACGATACAGTCCTTATGGCAGAATCGCTGGAGGACTTAAGCACTATTCTCAATGACCTCAATAGTGTCTCTCAACAGATTGGTCTTAAGATGAACATGGACAAAACAAAGATCATCTGTAATGTCCATGTCACAACTATGCCGGTAGTTGTTGGGAGCACTAAGCTCGCAGTTGTTAACGAGCATGTTTACCTAGGACAAAGACTACGTAAGTCCAACTTCGACCGAGAGGTCAATCGACGGATTCAACTCGGCTGGCCAGCGTTCGGGAGATTACGACACATCTTTTCGTCAGGTATACCTCAAAATCTGAAAACGAAATTGTGACAACCAGTGCGTGTTGCCAGTGACGACATATGGATCTGAGACATGGTTCTTCACTAATGGCCGTATGAGGGCTATTCTCCGGGTTTCTTTGCATGATAAATTTAGAAATGAGGATATCCAGAATGACCGAAATTGCCCAACGGATTAGTAAGCAGTAATAGCAATGGGCCGGCCATATAGTTCGAAGAACCGATGGAAAAAAAATGTTCTCGTGTGGCAGGCTCGTACCGGTAGGCGAAGTGTAGAGCGACTATCCACTAGATGGAGTGACGACCTGATAAGACATGCAGTAAGTCGATGGATGCAGGTGACTCAGGACAGTGCTTTGTGGCATAACTTGGGGGAGGCCTATGTTCAGCGGTGGACTTGTGAAGGGTTGTAATGATGAATGATGATGATGATGATTAAATATTTCAAAAAAACAAAAGGCTTGTTGTCCGTAATTAACCGGTGCTTATAGGGTAAATACGGATACCATTTGGGGTAGTTGTCAATCCTCTGGTATGAAACGTACCTTTCAAGAATCAAAAATAGACAGAGAAGGAAATCGCCTATGCAATTTTTATGACTACTGTGACATCCAAAACATAATATTCAGTCCTGAGCGATAGTAATTGTATTAAAGATTTTTGTATCTTCTCGACTTTCGTATTGGTGTATTTCTATTTCTTTATAACATTTTCTTTAACATTCACTGTCTTTATTCTCTTTTTATTTACCCAGTATCGACCATATTATAGGAAGTATAATTATCACCAAAACACACAGATATAACCCTAATTTTATCCTCATGCAGAGGATAATTTGTAGCAGCTTTGAAACCATTCAATGCTTTTTCCATGTTTGTGGTTTAAAGGCTTTTACGTAAAGAACAACATCATAAAATCATCAAATGCGGTTATTTTAGATTCCAGGGTTATTAACACACTTGATGTTGCAAGCAGTCTTTAGGAGGTTATTAAAGGTCAAGCCAAGTGATTACATGCTGCTGCTACCACGTAATTGTTACTTTCGTTCTTTAATAAAGGAATCATCCGTTTTCTCTTAAATATGAAAAAATGTGGAACATAGATGCCGGTAGCATTGAATGCATTCTTTTCTGTTGTCTAGGTACCGCGTCCACTTTTTTAAGCACAGGTTATCTAAAATATATATTTATCTATAATATAAATTATTGTACACAATAAACAAACAAATAGACAATACATAAAGACAAACGGCACACCAGGCACTGCTTATTTGTAATAATATTTTATATCTGAAGTACAATTTTGAAATGGGGTAATTGCGGACGGCCATATAATTTGCCCAATTAACCCGCAATTAACCCATCACAGTTTTTCTAGACCAGATTTTTTTTTATATTAGGATACTACATGTGATTTATTTATAGCTACAATTTAAATGATATATTATTTTAAATGATAATTCACATTTCACTACATAAACACGACAATGAAAATAGCCAAAAATTATAAGTAAAGCCATAAAAAAGTATATCGGTACTTACCTTGAAGTGCATGCTCAATCTTCCATCTTAACTACTGTCCGTGCACTAAATATGGCGGATGCAATCTAAATAAGGGAATTGCGGGACGCCTACTAAAAACGACTGTGTACAGAATTACCCCATGTCCGCAATCAGACTTCTCTCCCCTATTCTTGTTTATAATATATCATATATTTTATGCGAAGAGGACGTTT